TTTTTTTTTTTTTTAGGATAATCCTCCAGGGTAGTTCCGTGACTAACCCATAAAGATTGGCTAATAGTTGTGGGTTTATTTTCTCCATCTTAATAAGAAGCAATAGTGACAAGACTTATACCTTTTATTTTTGCAGCACTGCTGAGTCTATATGGGCTCAAGCTTTGAAGAGAAAAGCAGAAGAGGTGAGGCAGGACCTAGTGGCATACAATGTATTTGTTATTTTTAATCAATCGTGTTAGTGATCATCTATCCCCCCATTCTTTTCAGGCAAGTGATGCAGCTGTAAATGTAGAAGAATTGCTTCCAGTGATTCGAGCAAAAAAACGGCTTATTTCTACAACACAACTTATTCAGCAGATTTTCCGACCTACACCAGTAATTATTCTCTGCTCAGATGCTAGTCTCAGTAGTGATAGTGTGGCATATGTGGCGGCTAGATTAGAGTTAGGGGATGCATTGAGCCTGACTAGTCAGTTGGCATCTGACACCAATAACATGTAAGAGCTGATTGTATGGTGTGTACTGCTTTTCTTACTAACTGTAATTCCTGTCATTTTCAAAAAGCTGAAATTAATAATGAATTAAACTTGTAAGTGAGTATATGTTGTGAAAACCTTCTTACTTTTTCTGTTATTAACACGCAGGTCGAGGCTAAGAACTTTGAAGAAAACAAAAGCCTGCAAATTCTCAGAAATTGTAAAAGCCTTCATTGGTCGCGTAAAAAATGTTGAAGCTACTTTATCAAGGTAAATATTCGGTTCATTTGTGCTCATATCTTTATTCTGAGGATATAGGTTTTAGATTGTGGCTAACCTAGTGTAGAAATGCATATGATACAAAACATAGACGTGTCCACCGTTACGCAACAATTTATGAACCCCATCAGCTATATACACTAATGTCAAGAAAAACGGCTCTATTTTACCCTTTTCGTGAAGCACATTTTCTTGAACTAATGAAAGTGAATTTGTAATGATGCAGAGTTGACAAAAGCTTATCACTCGTTGACTTCAAAGTCGAAGCCCGTGAATTGGAGAGATTCTCCACGAACAACCGTTTCGCGAGGTTCCACACTGTTCGAGCCCCACCTATCAATGCCAACAATGCATCATCTTCTCATATGGCCACTTTGTTCAACCCCGCCCTTAAAAAATATGTAATTGCACGTGCACTGCCTGAAATATTGCCAGATGGGCAAAATTGTCTTTCCCTGTGATCATCGACCAATCAAAAATCAAGTATGCAGCTTGACACTCGACAAGGGGATTCGAAAATGCTCTGCCAAGCAAATGCAAGTTAGTTCAGGTGATCTTTCTGATTCTCAAATTAACCGTGGATCTTTTTCATCTTCATTTTTGAGGAAGTATATATATATATATATATATTTATACACAACTAGTTTTCTATATATGTGCGCAAAAAAGATGTAGGACAACGTAACCAGCAGGTGCCAGCACCCGTCTTGTGGGGATATATTAGTAATTTTCATGTATGCACTTTTGTGTATAATTCTGATCTTAATTGCCACTTGGAATGTAGCATTTTTTTCTTTCAACAGTCATCACTCTTTGCAGATACTGTGATCATGAGAAATAAGGACACTGGTGTGATTGGATACCAGCAAAAAAAAAA